TTTCTCACTGCATGCACTAAACATTAAACATTGATAATACCTACATTGTATTTATATACCTAATTTAACACATAAATAAATCTATGTGTTGATGTTAATAATAAAAAAATAGTTTTTTTAGATTTTAAATTTACTCTTTATTTCAATAATAATTAACAAATTTAAATATAATTAGTAAAAATATTAAACAATTTAATAGAAAAATATTTTATAAACATCAAATAACCAAATAAATTACTTTTTGTGTAACTATTGTGAGTATGTATTGAGAATCTAAAATTTTAACAGAAGAAAAAAGGAATCAAACTATTAAATGATTAAAAGTTTTAACTAAAAATTAGCTCAACCATCTTATAGGTAAAAATCAGGGTTTGAGGCCCATTATCTCATAAAATTATTAATTAGTAATAACCAACTACTTTTTCCATAATGTACATACAATTTGAATTTGATTCTCATTTCTTTCGAGCTTTAATTTAATTCCAATATACAGGGTGTTCAGTAAGTCAGGAAACGGGTTTCTATTGTTCTCATTGTTTGTAACAATGAGAACAATAGAAACCCGTTTCCTGACTTACTGAACACTCTGTATATAAACTAATAATGAAAAAAAATTATTGATAGCAATATTACATTTCATTTTACAATAGTAGTCAATAAATAATAATTATTTACAATGAGTAAAATAAATTATTATTCACATTTGTGTAAAACAATAATTCATTGATATTTCATATTTGATATTAATCTAGCTAAGATAACTATTAAGGCGTATTTAGAAGGCACTCTATGAGTATGCCTTGTGAGTTGTAATTTGCGTTCCACAAACTTCTACAACTCACGAGTCAGAATCGCGCCTTTAAAGATTCGACGATTTAGGAGTTGGGATTTGGAGTTGACTCACTGAGTCAACTAATTTGAGTAAACTGATTCATATCAGTAAGTCAAAAATCCCATCTCTAATCACAGATAACATCTTAAATGTGGTTATATATTAATTATATTATTATCTCATTTTGTGTTCACAATAGTTTAGTTTTATGTGATAAGCAATTTTTACACATATTTACATTGTATCACATAAAAAGCTTCCAATAAACAATTGAAAATAAATTATTATATAGACTTAATTTATTATACACGATAAAAACTTACAAATTGTTCTCTTGAAATTTTAAAAGTAGTGTATTTTAATTCCAGTAATGTTATTCATTTAGGTTTTCATGGATTACTAAATTTAATATTAGGTCACTACAGGTAAGTCTGTATTTCAATTGATATTTGTAATAAAATGTTAACAACTTAATTTAAATGAAGTATTAAAACAATTAATTTTGCTAATGTCACTTTTTTTATTTGAATATGTTAAAATATATTCTTAATTGATTCCTCTATTATTAATAAAATGTTCAGTTACTTTTATAGGTTCATGATTTTCTTGTAAATCCGATTGAATGAGAAACTTTTTTATAATCTGCTATCAACTGTATTTATAATATTTTTTCATTAAGAAAAAATTGAATTTATATAAATTTCCCTACATAACTGTGTTTTCAAGTTCAATGGTCTAGTTCAAGTTCAAAAATTGCAAAGAAACAACAATTTTATTTATTTATTTGGTTAATATTTATCAATATCTTAAGTAATTTGATGTTTGTTTGAAAATAGACGAAAACCTACACAGTTCTAAGTGTTAATTATATTAGTTTAATTAGTAGATAGAAAGTTTATAACAAAAATAAAGCCTAAATTATATTACAGTTTTAACTTTTTTTTTATGTTTTTAGTTATTCATTTTTTATTAAATTAATTTTTTTATGACTTTTTTATGCTGTTTATGGTGACTTTTAGAATATTTTTTATTTTATTTTATTTATATTACATGACATGAAATGACTTACCTAAAATATTTGAATGTGAAAAAAATCAACAATACTTCATTTTTATTACTAGGAATGGATTACCTTTTAGGAAAACTGTGTAAAAAAGATAAAAAAAAAGAAGTTATCATGGAAGATCTCCAAACTGTTCTTTTACGAACTCAGTCTCCTCCAAAAAAGTTCTACTCTTCAACTGGTGATTTTGATGAAGTTTATCCAAACCTTTATGTTGGTGATTGGTAAATATTTTATTTACATTTTTATTGTTTGTATCATTATTAAAGTACAAATTTAATTAGGACTACAGCAAAAAATCGCAACCTTTTATTGTCATTAGGAATAACTCATGTTGTTAATGCTGCTCAAGGTATTGGTTTTGGATTAGTCGATACAAATGAGCAGTTTTACCAACCACTTAATATTCGTTACATTGGTTTGGCATTATGTGATGATCCTAGTGTTGCAATTTGTGAATATTTTGATAGTGTATCTAATTTTATTGATGATGCTTTAAACCAAAAAGGTAAATATTATTAATTAAAAATATGATTTAATTAACCTACTTAATACTTATTATGTAATTAATTATAAAATATTTATCATAGTTTTATAAAGTATTATTATGGAATAATTAATATTACTATAGGTAAGAAAATGTAATTTGTTTAAATTAGAAAGAAATTAACCAGAGTGCTTTATAATTGTGTTACATAAATATTTAAAAAATATATAAGATATTTGAAACTAGAAGGGTTTATGTATCATTTTTAAAAAATATGAGAAGTATAAAATAAAAATTAAAATAACTTTTCTTTTGTGTGAATTGAAGATCACAGTGGTTTTTAAACAAATAGTGCTATTTATCTTCTATTTCCTATACCAATTGCATTTAAAAGATAATGTGTCTCAATTTTTAAATTCAATAACAAAAGTTACAAAAATTAAATTTTTGTAACTTTGATCCTTCAGTTCTAGTTGCCTCATAATGCTTTTTAATATTTTTAACATATTGGTATTTTTAATTTAGGTAAAGTTTTAGTTCACTGTATCATGGGAATATCAAGGTCTGCAACAATTGCAATAGCATACTTAATCATAAAACAAAATATGAGGGCTAAAGAAGCAGTCGAAAAGGTTAAAAAAGCTAGAGAAATACGTCCTAATGATGGATTTTTAAGTCAAATAGCTCAACTAGATAATGACAGAATGCTTTTATTAACTCAACAATAATGGTGCTTCAAATTAATACTTTCCTTTAAAAAATATTTCTATTATACATATTTTTTGAACATTTTTTTGTTTGTTATGTTGATATCGAAGAGATGCTTTCGTCAAAAAATTTCAAATTGTACATCTGTATGCAATAAAAAAAATTATTTAGTATATATATATATATAGTGTCCCACCAGGTTCTGATATCTTTTGTTTCAGAATCTTTGAAATCAGCGAATATTAGCATTACTTTTTTTTAAATAATTTATACAGGTTTAGACTATATTAAAAGTATATTTTTTATTAATTTTCTCAAAAAAAAAAAATTAATTAATTTTTTTACAAAAAAATTTGACAAATTGATAACAAATTGTGATTCACTCACTCAAACTTTTTGTAAGAAATGGCCTAAAAAAACGACTATTTTATAATTAAAAAAAAATATATTTTTATTTTATTAAATGTCTCTTCTTTTTTATATTTTAATCTTATCATTGTCTTGTATTAGTTTAAAAGAAAAACTGTTTCGGCTTTCTATTTTGTGTTGGCCAGAGTCTTAACCAAATTTATTCTATTACAGCCTTCTCTTTTCAAGTTTTGAATGAGCGATTTCATTATCTATTTTTATTTTCATTGAAGAGAATACATTTTGATTTTAGAGGCGATAGTGTTTGTTGTTTGCCTTCAGTTATACAGAGTGGCCAACCACTCTCTGACAACTTAAATAACTTTTGATCCAGTTAATATTTTTAGCTGATTTTTTTTTTAAATAATAGTTATACGTTAGGTCTATAGCTATATCTCAATAATTAATTTTTTTACATTTTATTAAAAATATTAATTATTTTTAAATTTTAAATAAAATGTAAAAAAAAAATCTAAGATAGCTATTTTGTAGAGTAGAATTTAAGAAAAATTTTAGTAAAAAAATATCTTATTAATATTGAGTAGTAAATATTCTGTAGCGTTTTGAAGTTTGTGAAAATTTGAATTTTCATGTATTATTTTACGGTATTAAACATTGAAATACGTATTGAGAAAAGGACAGAAGAAAACGCTATCTTTTCAATATACTTTTGAATGAGAGTGATAAGTAATATTTGCCTTATCTAATTTCTTATCATGGTATTAATGCCATGTTTGTAATGTATACACATTATCATCATATGTATACACAGTAATCATGAAAAGATAGCGTTTTCTTCTAAATAGATATAGCTATAGACCTAACGTATAACTATAATTTAAAAAAAAATTCACCTAAAAATATTAACTGGATCAAAAGTTATTTAAGTTGTCAGTGAGTGGTGGGCCACCCTGTATATGTAATTGGATGATTTTTTAAGTTATTTTCAATCGATTTAGAATTAGAAACACTGCATAATAAATTAATGTTGTCTGCAAAATTTATTAAATTTTTTTGGCCAGTGTTATATTGTTTTGTACATCATTAATATGTTTTTAACATAGTCCAAAATTATAAAATCATAAAAAAAAATTAACATAAAATATTTGCTGAATTAAAATTTATTAAAGTTTACAAAACCTAGTAGTGGGACACTCTGTATATAATGTATATATATATGACTCGCAATTTGATTTGAAAAGGATGTGTGACATTCCCTTTTTAATAATCTTTGAGAGTAGATTTCCTAATTAAAACATTCCTGAAGTAATTCAATTAAGATAATGCTTTTATATATTTAGGGCATCATTAAACAAAATATAAAATGAAATGTTTATTCTCTTAATACTACTAAACATTAAAAAACTCATTATTTACCATTACTGTCGCAAACAATACACCTATCATTGAACCAGCTATTACATCAGTACTGTGATGCATATTATCAGAAATCCTTGTCAGACCAGTGTACCATGCACTTAAAAACAATATGAACTGAAGTATTACTAATAAAGCATTGTTTTTTCTTTTATGGACTAGTCCCTTGAAATAATAAAAACAACAAACTCAAATAAATGATTGAATATGATTTATTTTTATAAATCATAGTTCCTAGAGTTAAAGGGCTTGGTCAATTTTTTCATTTTTTTTACAGTAATGCGCCTTTGAAATTGGAAAATACATCAAAATTATACGAAGTATTTTATTTATTTTGTCAGTTAATGAAGTTTATTCATCTCAGAATTTTATATGATTTTAATTAAAATATATACTGAAATGTAAGCCACGATTATATAAGAAAAAAAAATAAAAATTGACTTGGGTTTTTTTTTTTGAGGGACTAAAATATGTTTTGTGATACTTACAATTGTATAGATAGCAGAATAGAATGCCAAACACGCATGAGCTGAAGGAAATGATTTTCTATATAGAAAAAATATATTCTTTAAAAATTGCTTTTTATTAAATCAAATAATAAAATAACTGTCAGCTCGTCCTGTTTTCAAATTCTAGATTTTCAGGAATTATTTTCTTATTTGCATTATAAAAATTAAAAAAAAAATTGTAAGTAGTTTATGATCTAAAAGTAAGTTTCTCGTTTATTATATATCGAATCAATGCCACAAAAACCAGATGTTCTAGGTGTGTGAGGTGCAAGAACTCTGGGATCTACATACATTGAAGAATTACTATTTTTAAATATTTGGTAAGGAAGGAGGTAGGATACTATTCTCGTCCCATCTTAGTAAATACTGTACTACGTCATGGTCTCACAAATCATAAAGAAGGTATTTGGGTAGTTTTTCAATTTCCTCAAATACTTTTATTATCAATTATTGATTATTGAATATCAATTAAGTAAGAAAATAGTATAATATAAAATTATTATTACACAAAAAAAAAATCCTTTTTTTTAAACTTTTGCTAAATAAAAGTTTTGTTTCATGTAACTAAAAGACTCAGAATTTTTAGAAATTTATTTATTTATTCGTATGGTTTGGACACAAATCAACACTTCAGTAATCTTTTACTTTAAATTTTTGTTTACAGATATCTAGTATAAATGAAAATTAGTTCTAGATATCTGTATTAGTAATATTAAAAGTATAACATATATAAAAATAATAGAATAATAACAGCGGAATGAATAATATCTAATTAAAACTACTAGTATTTTTTTATTGCGCCATTATTATTTTGATATACAGTGTTAATTTAGAGATGCACGTCTAATTCCTTTATCCATTTTACTGCCTCTGGTGTTTTTCTGTGAATTTCTTCAATACTCCGTATTCGACACCGGGATCCTACTAAAATGGTTGGCCCATATGACTAATAGTAACAATACCAAGGAATTTCAATGTTAGATTTCTAACCATAAAAAAAAGGTGATTACCATTTATATAATTAGTGTGTTTTTAAATAATACAATATTCACATGTATAAATTGATTTTTAAATTTAATCGAAAGTCCGCAAAATACAAATGTAATAACATTGAACAATAAAATAATTTTACATAAAATGAAACGATATACTCCAACCAAGTCGATCCATAGATTTGACGATTACATGGAGTACAACTTCCAGCTTGATTAACGAAGCAATCACGGACTAAGTTATGCGTTCTTGTAATGATGTTAGCTAATATAACTATTTTAAACAATGGACAGTTGAAAGATTCGTAACGAAATGGCAATAGGCCGTGGAACATCACAAAAAAAAATGAACCATCTATCACTGGCTACGGTCAGCAAAAATTCCACGGAACGACTTATCGATCGTACACAAAACGTGCGTACTACATAATAAATAAAACACGCCAGATCACTGGTCACGAGTTATCAGACTCGACGGTATGGCAACACTTCAAACACATCCACGTGCATACTAACTTAGGTACCAATAGTGCCGGACATGACAACTGTGACTGTCGTAGGCCAAATGACGAGAGAAGAGGTGGGTGATTATAATCTACGTGGAGCTTGACCGGGCTACACACGTAACTTTTAAACACTCCGATTGAATTTCCGTAATGACATTTTGTTATAATGTGATTTACGGTTTGTATGTTGTTATCGCAATCACGGAATTGTCATTTGAACATTATGTCAGCACAGCAATCATGGCCTGATCAAGGACGATTTAGTACAGATTACTCATGCCTAGGCATTTCCATTCCCATAACTCCTTGGTTGGGGTCAGGCACCTAGTTATTAGATAGTTGATTCTGGCCACTTGTTGCGTCAACACCTACAAATTTCAAACCTTGATCTTATTAGGTCTTTAGTCGTCTTCTAAGGCGGCTTCCTTGATTTTAATCTAAGTGTTAGCACATCTTTCAACCTTTTGGCTGTAGCGTTGGTACCACATTACCTACTTCTATCTCCGTGATAACAACAATTAGAAAAAAGTAGGTCTTTTTCTTTTATTGTTACATCTATGTTCTTGTAACTCTTTTGACTTTTAAGATAAAAGCAAATATATTTAACAAATATTTTGTGGGTCTTTTAGTTTTAAATAAAAATTATTAATATAGGCCCCACACAGTTTGTAATGAGCGTCTCCTATTCTCTATTTTCTTTATAGTTTTTATAAGTTTCTCCTGTCTTCGTAGGTCTGATGGAATTATATTGGTTAATACCAATCACTGTAAGTGAGTTGACTTCATCATGCCGCTAATCACTCTTATCACGTTATGTAATTATGTATCAACTTGCTTCACGTGTGCATTATATTCAGGTGTGCTATATGCTAACACTAGTACCGATGTCCGTAGAGTTTTAGCGTCAGCGCCTTAACCTTTACCAGCAATTTTTTGAACTATATAAATTTGAGATCGTACTTTTTTCCCGGTTTTATCAAGATGTTCTTTAAATGTCAACGTACAGTCCAACGTTATTTCCAAGTATTTTAGTGTGAAGTTGTGCTTTATTTGTATTTCCTTAAATGTCACTTTTAGTTCTTCTCTAGCCTTTTTGTTGTTTAAATGTAAAGCATATACTTCGGTCTTGACAGAGTTCGGTTTTAAACAATGCCATCTGAAAAAGTATTTATTCATAGTAATAATGTCTTCAGTAAGTTTTGTTCCACCCATTTCCAAGTCAGTGTTTTGATAAGCAATTGCAATATCATCTGCATATTGTAATTTAAGCCCTTTCGTGTCGGACAGATCATGTATCTACAAATTAAATAGGGTAGAGGCAAGTACCAATTCTTATGAAAAACATTAATTAATGTGCGCTAGTTACTTTTTCTATTACCCCAAAATACTTGGAAACGGCGGTTTGTGAACATCCTATCTAGGAGCGTAAATAATTTCTTGTATGAAAAGACCTTAGCGAATTTATTCAGGAGACCGTCTCCCCATACTGTATCGTACGCCACTGATAAGTCGATGAAAGCTACATTATTTGGTTTTAAAGTATGCTGACCTTCCGTAAAGTGGTCTGACTAATCAAATTTTTTCATAAGGCTCCATACTTTATGGCTGAAGTTTAGATTTTAAGTCTTGATTTTCTGTTTTTTTATCGCGTCATCTTTGTCTTTTTTTTAAACTCAAGTTAATTAACACATCCACTATGTTATTGTGTTTTGTTCTTTGAAACTCTGAGAACCGGTTTCGTACCAACCAGATACGAACTGCTTCCTGAAGCCACAAGGTATGTGTTTTTCGCTACTAGTTTTATAGCTTCCACGAATCGTTCGTAGCTGTCTGCTTTTGTTGGGATCCATTGTACTATTTGATCTAAATCCATGGCGAATTTAGTCCAGTTGGCTTTTCTGAAATTCCATATTGCTTTTGGAATTTATCTAAAAATTGGTATTTTTAGGACATACTCTAGATGCTACCACTGATCGATGTTCGTTGTAAAGAAAGTCGTCAAGAACGCAGCGCGATGCCATCTGTGTGCTATCCTTTAGCCACCTTGCTGATCGGAAAGTTCATCAAGGTCCTTAATAAAAAAGACAAGTTCTAGATTCATTGTGGTTAAGCACTCATATAATAGATATTCATATTCCTCATAACCCCAAGCCATATTGTAGCTATTAAAGTCGCCTACAAATGGCTAGATGTTTAAAGGTCTTCATTAGGTTACTTTCCTATTTGTTATTTTCGGGTTTTACACGTACTGTCATATTACATATTGTGGTTAGTATTTATATGTTATTCGATATATCTTTGTGAACCACCCTTGTTTTATCGATGTTTTCTTTAACATACGTATTACGTAGCTATGCCATACAGTTAGTGATGTATTGATTCAACCAGTACTTATCCTATAATGTAGCCTCTTTTTTGTAGGTCATTATCATTTTGTGTGTGTTTTTCTTGTAAGGCGATTACATCTATTCTTTCTTCGCACATTCTTTTACTTAGAACATGGGGTGCCAAGAATGAATGTATTCTAATATTCTGTTACCAAATTAAACTGCACATTCAGCAAGGAGGCTCCTTCTCTGTCACCATTCGTAAAATAATATAAAATTTATTATAAAAAAATATATTATTTAAATGTACACAGACGGATTAAAAAAAAAAAGAAAGAAAATATATATAAGTCTCTCATCAGGTTTTGACATCTTTTATAAATTTTGAACCCACAAATATTTTGTCTTAATTTTTTTTTTTTAATTTTTACAGTTTTATATTAAAAATATGTATGATAGCACTTGTACCAGGGTAAAAAGCGTAGGAGGAATATCAGAAGGTTTTCGGGTAAGAGTAGGAGTGCACCAAGGTTCTGCTTTAAGCCTTTACTTATTCTCTATAGTGATGGATAAAATTACTAGAGAAATACAAGGAGAGGTGCCGTGATGCATTTGTTTGTTGACGATATAGTGTTAATAGGAGAAAATAGGGAAGAAATTAATCCAAGGCTAGAGGTGTGGAGATCAGCTCTTTAAGAAAAGGGTTTAAGAATAAGTAGAAGTAAGACAGAGTATGAGTTTGACAAAGGAGAACACGAGGTAGGTAAAATAAGGAGGTCAGTAACAATAGGCGTGGACGTGATTGGAGAGGTGGAGAATTTTAAGTATTTAGAGTCAGTTGTGCAAAAGAGCGGTGGTATTAACGAGGATGTAAGACGCAGAATTAAGTGCGGATGGTTGAAGTGGAGAGAAGCTTCTGGCGTCTTATGCGATAAAAGAATTCCAATGAGGCTTAAAAGTAAATTCTACAAGACTGTAATAAGGCCAGCTATGATGTATGGTTCAGAGTGTTGGGCGGTTGATAAGAAAGTAGAGCAGAGAATGAGTGTAGCAGTGATGAGAATGCTTAGATGGATGAGTGGAATGACTAGAAAAGATAGAATAAGAAACGAGCACATAATAGGGAGTATAGGTGTAGCGTCAATCGTGGATAAGATGAGAGAAAATAGACTTAGATGGTTTGGTCATGTTATGAGGAGAGAAGAATCGGAA